CTGCAGGATTTCTCAAACATGCATGAATGAGTCAAAGCAAGGCTTTGGGCATGTTTTTTTATGAGAGTATAACATTATAACATGATATAAAACACAAAAAAGTTGATTTTACATGATATTGCCCCTTTAAAATACTGCCTTTATAATAAACAATTTTACTTGCATTACAAGCCTTCTTGTACACATAACAGAAAGACAAACCACTCGTACTCTCTGTGCTCCAGCCTCACATTCACTTTGTTTCATATTCTCACACCTTCAGCTGCAATATTTCTGTTTTTGACCTTTAAACTTTGTCCAAACACAATCAAAACGGCAGCTTTTCAAAAGGCCCCACTCGTGTTTTTTGGTGATTTTTTTTTTTTTTGTATGAACCCCATCGACATACCCTTAGCTGTTTTGCTATTATATAATGTGTAGAACACACAGTTATGTTTCTGCGGCAGATGACAAACACAGCTGTGACAGCCAAGAAGTGGCCTTTATGCAGCCAGTAGCCAAGCATGCAGCAGTGTAAAAATAGGCAGGCTTCACATCACAACTCATTGTACAGCCAGCAGCYTTTAAAGCATGTTTCTGCACTTCTTTTATTGGTGTTTGAAAGTGAACAGAACGTTCTTTCCATTCGGTCTCATCTCTGTTTGGACGGTGTGTTATAAGTTATATTTCATACCCTTTTTGTGTTTTTGATCAGTCCTCTGAGCTTTACTGAAAACTGACACGTTGCTTTCATTAAACTGTTTTCTCTGCCCACTATTGTTGTTAACCGAATACTTTAATCCAAAGCAAAGAGATCTTTGTTTTTCGGCTCTTCACGTATGATTTTTGGACTTTGGCTTTCTGTCACCACATCAGGCTTCCAGTTGTATTAATTCTCCAAACAGTGTGCGTTAGAAGTCGGTTCCCAGCGCGGCCTGTGTGCATACATAAGGATTATATCAGTGCGAGAACAATGTAGCAGTGCCTGACCTGTGAGCTAGAACATTCCACTGTTTGACCCCTCAGAGGCCTCCTGTCCAGCAATAACCCTGCTCTGTTATCCCKGTTTGGCTCCTGAGGAATGTCCCCGTGGTCCCACAGACCAGCCCACCGCTCCTGCCAATTCCAGTTCTACCAAACAACAAGAGGAGAAAAAAAAGTCCAGACAGGGAAACATCCCACTAACTGTGGGATTATGTAAAAAAAAAAATTCTTAGTGTTTTTATCTGGGAGGAATGTGTTATTTGTGCTGTGGTTCGGTTTCACAGCACTTTTATTTTTACTATAGAGCTGGCACCTCTGAGGCAACAACCAAATGCCCACCTGCATTTGATTTTAAGCTTTTTACTGCTTTAAAAAAAATCATAAACTAAACAGAAGCAACTATTTAAAAAAGGAAAAGAAACAAACTACTGTACACCTAAGCTAATTCAATTTCCCATGTAATGTTTGTCCAACCTACAGATAAATGTCACCTTTTTCTTTAAAGAGCAAATAAATACCAAAGCTTTTGACCTAAATGTTAACTTCTCTAATTCAAAAGCCAACTTTTAAGWGCTTTTTGCTGCTTTTAAACAACACACTAAACCACAGGAGATGATCAGTCACTAAATGTTTCAGATATAGATTGTTTTGCTTATATGGTAGYGAAAATTCAACATCATGTCAAATTTAAGGTGAACTAATTGTACAGTTTTTGTCAACAGTGTCGAAATGATTGTTCCATACATTATTATCTATCTTCAAAATGTTTTCCACTGTTCAACAGTTTTTGTATTTTAGTACGAATTAGACCAGGTACATTGTTACTTACCAAATAAAGTTGGGTTCTGTTTTCATATAATTTTGTTATATTCTTGCAAAGCTTTTTTGCAACTAAACTAACTGAAATTGATTTGTAATTAAGGATTTTTGTTGTTATTGCAAGTATTTGAAACATGTTTAGAAGAGTCAGAATAAATTTCTCCRCTGGCTGGAGCGGTAGCTTCACCAAAACATAATCTAATTTCCACACTGATTTATCAAACACCGGCGTCATTATAATGTTAATTCTGTCCTCATCAAGCATGCATTGTTACACATCCATTCAACACTTTACAACATTGTCATTAATTGAAAATAACTCATGGGAATGTATCAAATCATTGGTTGTGAGTTTGATGAAAACATTTGTTCTTCAAACAAAAATAAGACGAAGATACGGTGAGACTATACTCACTATTTTAAGTAACGGTACAGGTTGTGTTTTCTTATTTGACTAGTAATTTTTTTATTTTACGTTTATTTTTTTGTTTACTGCTACATTCTCTCTGTTCTCTGTCCCTGCAGGATAATGTGTGAGACTGTGCGTTACGAGAGACACGAAGCCAATGAAGTTCTTTACTAGTAAGTACTCCAATGTCCGGACCTGCATCAGTGTTACTACAAAAATGGATGTTAGGCCAGGTGCTTGGTTCTTAACCAGCAAGTTATTGAAGCAGCTGAAAAACATTTCGGTTTAATGCGATAAAACCCTGTTCTGACTCGGACAGTAAGCTGGTGTTATTGATGACCTGAAGCGTGCTGTCCACACACAGCTGAGTGACCCAGGTGCAGACAAATGAAAATAAATGTTCTGGAAGCACCGAGGTGGTCAGGCGGTTCGCCGATGAAGGTCTGTGAAGATTGCTGCAGGGCTCCCCTCCATCACAGCTACAGAAACCAGGGGCCTTTCTACAGGATATTAATTTTGAATTTCAGCCTYAATCAGTGATTTGTTGTAGAATAAATTCCTAAAGAAAATCTCAGTTTGCAGCAGCTCCAAAAACACCTTTTTCTTTAGAGGAAAGAGAAGCAACCAGTCTTATATTTCCCCTCGTGTGGTATGTTTTATGACAGGTTCATTTGATCAGAGAGTTGTATTGACAGCTTCAAGAAATCCTTCGACTCTGTTTTAGATCCGTTTTCAAAGGCTGCCGTCGCTGTAGTGAGCAGAATAAACACCTATTGTTTGACTACCGTCACACGTTGACGTCTTTTTAACACCCACAAAAAGACTGTTAATTAACTCCGTGAGCTTCTCCAGACAGTGCATTGCCCTCTTTTTCCTGCTTTTTGATCCTGCATGTGAGTGTGTGTGTGTGTTTTGGGGGATGATGTGGAAAAATCAACACCTCATTAGAAGCCCACTTGGTGARGAGGAGCTGGTTAAACAAAAAGGGTTTGCAGAATAAACAGTGGCCAAATAATAGACTTCAGTTTGAACAAGATTCCCTCTGGTCTTCCACTCTGGTTACCTCACATGCACGACATATATACAACCAGTCTTTCCACACTAAGCAAACCTGTTCTTTTAGTTGTGAGAAAATAAATAAGACACGTTCTTGGATGTACATGATTCAATATGTTTTGAATTATTATTTTTTACTCAAAGTGATAGAGTTGCTATTTTCACGCACCTTGTGATGCAGTATTGCTGCAATACTGCCCCACCCTACTACAGAAATGTCACCTTCTTTTACATTTTAGATTATAAAATTATGTTTTTTACAAATTTCCAAACAGCATGCAAATAGTTTCGAAGGAATATAAAACTTTCCCAGAGGTCAGCCTTAAAGAAACTTCAGATTTAGCTGGCCTAGTTTAAAGAAATATGCATTTATTTTATTTGCCCCTGCAGATGCACAGCAGGTCATTTTACTTTTTGCCCATAACGCTGGTATAATAGTCATTTTCTTCCAGTTGTCTTGGCCCAGCTGGTTTTGCATGTATTTGTGCGTCTGCGTAAGTGTTTGCATTTATTAACCCATAAAAATTGGTCAGTGCTCTCACAGATAAAAGCAGGGTATTAAAGCAGCAGAGGATCAGATTGCTTTTCCTCGTCTTCAAGAACTTAATCAGACTGCTCCTGGAAAAAAACAAAACAAAACAAGCTTTTAACTGCCTTCTTCACATCCTCATCTGTTTATAACAATGGTGATAAWATGCTGTAGAAGGTTGTAAAAGTCAATGAGGGAGAATGATTGCAAAAATAACAGCGTGGCTTGTACATTGAGTCGTGTAGATCTACAAACACTTCTGTGCATTAACATCAGGAAAAAATAAGTTTAGAGACTAAAAGTAGCATGTTTGATTACGTATTAGAGCTCTTTAAAGTAACTACATGGAAAGACAGAAATGATATAGACATGTCTTAAAATATTTTTAAAAATTTTCCTGTTATTTTCCACTGGACCTTTAAATATCTTTACACAACCTTAAAATGGTCCCAAACATTATAGCTTCAAATGAAAAACACTGACATAAAAGTTTAGTTGTTTCTGTTAAACAGCCCTCATTGTACCCTTAAGTTTTTTTTTTTTTCATTGTTGTTGTTTTGTTTTGTGGAGTACTTATGAGCTGTCAAATTAATCTCAGTTTGGAGAAACTGAGAGAATTTCTCTAAGATGAGTCGATTGAAGCTAACAACTTCCTAGACTGACAATTTCCAGGATCTAAAACCGTCACACACTATCAGGTCAAAACATGTTGATTTCTGAAGAGAACAGCTCTGTTAGCTGGACTGCACAAGTCGGGGGTAAACAGATGACAGATCTGACAACAGTGTTGACTAATTGCCAACATAAACTGTCAGCAGGGGTAGAAAAATGCACTATAATGATCACAAGTTCTTGAATCACAAGTAGAYAACAGTTGTCATTTGATGTTGTTTCCTCTTTTCACCACTGCATTTTAAATAAGTAATTCCACCAGTAGGCTGGGTGGTGTTAACAACCTCACAATTCAATTTGATTTCAGTTCTTTGGCACAAAATCTGATTTGATTTGGATTCAATTTGCTTTAAATGCTTCAGTATCAACTTCATAATAAGAAGAAACTTGCAAATAATTCATTAGATGGATAATTTAATGGATAATTTTGAGATATTTATTTTCTTGCCTACATTAACAGAAATGGTATACATTAACATATTTCAGAAATAAAATACCTGAACTAGAACTGCGCAATATATCGAAAATGTATCGTCAGCCAGCGCAACAGGCATATTGCAAAAACTGCATAAACTGCAATAAATGGTTGGCTCAAAAGTTTGCATTTATAAGTTTTGTCACTCAGACGGAAGCTTGAAGTATTTCAAAAATCAAATAGAACCCTTCATGTATTTGGTCAATTAAAAAAAACATGCTGGAATGGAAATTATTATTATTATTATTGAACKCAGAGCAGAKTAACATCAACACTACATACTTATTTAGTCATATCACCATCGCATTATTAAGCACTGTTATCGCACATCGCAGGGTTTCCTAATGTCGTGCAGCCTTAATCTGAACATAAAGACTTGGCACAATACTTGTTCTAATGTTACGGCCCTAGCCAAGATGTAACACTAAATATGGAGTGCAAAGGTAAAAACACAACAAACTGGCCATGGGATCAAATTGAATCAGAGGATTTTTTTGAATTAACATTGAATTGAAAAAAAAATTGCAATGAATCTATATGTTTACCCACCCTAACTGCCAGCCATTGCAGATATATTTGACCAAGAGTTTGCTTTACTTTACCTACTGAAGTTGAGACTTTTCACTGTAAAATTTTTAAAAATGGGAGGAAGGAAACCTACTAAAAGCTAATTTCCCAGATGCTTAATTCTTTCTTAAACGAGTATTTCAAAAATAATTTCAGAAAGCCCATGTTCTTTGGTAAGTACGGTAGTTATTTTTCCCTAAATC